ACAAATGATCACAAAAAAGTTCAAAAGACCCAGAAACTCGAAGGATTTCGAATATTTGACTATTCTTCTTGCCTGGTGGTTAGGACCGTCACCAAACGTCCTTTCCCTTTCAGCAGTGGAGGTGCTATAACGTGACGGTCAATTCCAAAAGTTGGCGCTGGGAGTTGTTGACTAGCTGCCTTCCCTCACTTTCTAAATTAGGGACGGCTAGCACAGATAGTTCTCGAGTATTTTTGGGCGAAATTCAACCAACAAACAAAACTATTCTCCTCCAAGAGTAAAAAGGAGTAATTTCTTGTTTAGTCATCGATATTCAAAATTTGTATTTGCTTTTATCGTTTTAATATCTAATTGTGATCCAATTGTTTATACTCTATGTTCATTAGAATCTGGTTTTAGAATACATATCAGCAATGTTTTTAACCTTTAAAGAGAAGAATAAAGTAATTCCGATAGATCTTTGTAAACACTGTTTGGTTGAACGTGATTTTATAACAGAAGTAACTTTCCGAAGTTTCAATATAGTAATAAAAATATTTTAATGTGCTTGACTAAGAAGAGAGAATAGTCACACTGAGCTCCTTCTCAGGCTTGACATGATTACGTCATCACGCTTATTATTGGAAATGCTACTGTTTTTCGATATGTATATAGTTTCAAGTTATTCAACCGACAAAGGTAACCTATTTGTTCATTAAAACTAAATTATTTATAATAATAGGCTTTATTATTGCATTTCGCGCAAAACTACACGAAGGCTATTTGCGCTAGCCGTCCCTAATTTAGCAGTGTAAGACTAGAGGGAAGTTTACGGGTCGAGCTCCCTAACCACCTGGCCATGCTGAGCTAACGGGTGGAGTGGTGTGCTTTGAATATTTCAGCCTTATGAAGGAGCCTTTTGACGAGGAAGCTACGCTGCTGGACTATTTTCAAGATGTACAGTTGTCAATAGAGCAGACCAGACATAGCGACATGATCTTTGGTGAGGGTAAGAAGTCACCCTTAATATAATGAACTTCATTTCTTTAGAAGCATTTTATTTCATAGAAGCAAAAATGTACTTCGATGATTTAATTTTAAATTCCTAGTTTTTGTGCAATTCAATTAATCTATACTGAATTTTTAAAATTTTTATATTGACCTACTAAATAAGTTTATTATTGAGTTTAATTTTAACATGTTGTAACAGAGTTTTCTTTTTTAGGAAAAGTTAATGCTGTTGAAAACAAGTTACATGATATCTTTGCTTCATAACCTACATTTGCACAGAAAAACAATTGTTAATCTTTTAAGAACAGGTAAATCCAGACAGGATTTTATATGGTGATTACCAGACTAACTTACTCGCCATTCGGCATTTATTAAACTTAGGAGATTGTTCCCCTTTTCCTTCGTCCTAAACGTAATCTATTTTGTCTTATTACCTTATCAATATAATCCAAAGTGACACGGACGGACACGCTATGTAAACATATTTGCAACTTCATTTTAAGTTTTATGGAATTCAAAAAATAAAAATGTATACCTATATCTGAATTAACCTAATTAAATGAAGTTTTGAAAACAAGCAACACGTGTTCTAGCAATGTTTAAGAAAGGGAAACCCGGTTATTTTTAACACGTACTGCTTACGTTAAATTGTTATAATGGGAAATATTAAAATAATTTTGCGCTATTCAGAGTAGTGGACCTAATAAAGGCCTAAATTGTCATATTAAATCATTTCATAGGGTTTGTTTAAGTGGATAAATAGTCATAAGTAAGTTTAATGTTGATATATTTTTTCATGCAGCATATGACGAGAACCATCCCAAAACACTAATGAAACAACCAATAAATACGACTATAAGGTACGACTTCAAGCGTTGATTCGTCAATGAAATGCAGGCACGTGCAGATCATTGAAGAACCAGCATTAGTACAAACTACCTTGAAACAAGAATGTAATAAGCTTAGCATACTTATAGATTACATAGGTATGTAGATTATTATTCTCTCTTTTATCGTCCTTTTTGCTAATATTTGTTTTATTGTTTGTTTGTTTTTTGGAATTTCGCGCAAAGCTACACGAGGGCTATCTGCGATAGCCGTCCCTAATTTAGCAGTGTAAGACTAGAGGGAAGGCAGCTAGTCATCACCATCCACCGCCAACTCTTGGGCTACTCTTTTACCAACGAATAGTGGGATTGACCGTCATATTATAACGCCCCCACGGCTGAAAGGGCGAGCATGTTTGGTAGGATGCGGATTCGAACCCGCGACCCTCAGATTGTGAGTCGAGCGCCTTATCCACCTGGCCATGCCGGGCATTTGTTTTATTATCTCTATAGCTGAAACCATGGTCACGTTTCCTTTTGTGAGATTTGTGGAGCCTTTATTTGCGGCAAACAAAGGTTTTCTAAATCGAAAACATAAGCTCGAAGCGCATGGAGAAGCTCAAGCATTCGTAAAAACCTGTGATCTTAACATTTTAATAAATATTTATTTGAGAAGCTAAGTTGGTAGTTTAGTAACATTGTATTTTCCAGCATGAAGAAGTAGAATATATTATTTTATGAAAATGTTCATTTTACTCAATTTGAACCTTGATTGATATAATTTGATTCATCTGTGATTGACTTTACGAAGTGTTTTGCTTTAGGTTTAACGTTTTGTTGGTTGAAATGATAAATAGTGAACGGATTGACAAAATATACTAATTGAATCTTATGAAAGAAATAACTATTTTTAGTTTTCCAAATCCCCTTTATATCTACATTATACACAGATGATATAAGTAATTCACCAACGTATTTCCAACCTCATGGACTTTTCTAAATGAAGGATTAATATTTTAATTATTTTCTCGTGTCTGTGAGAGAGAGAGAGATTTGTTTTTAGCTCAAAGCTCGAATTTTAGAATTGGAAGTCCATAAACTTACCCCTGCTTGACTCAAAGGAAGATTATTTTATTGTCTCTTACTCAAGATTTGTTTGTAACGAATAAACATTTTACTGACTCTTTTGGGGCCGTGGGCGTTACAAAAGTGATAGTGAAAACCTGTTATTCGATTAGTAACCCCAGAGTTGACGGTGGGTACTGATGAGTACCTGTAATATGTTAATTCAGAAGTATGTGTAGCTCTGGCAAATATCCGAGACACACCAATCCAAATTGGCCCTTTCACTGCCATGTCCCCCTCTAGAGTACTACCATGTAAAGTTGGAAGAAAGGATATTCTCTTCAAACTTCTCAAAGTGTCCAATTTCGAGCTTCAGAAAAGTAATGAGATATTAAATCTGGGAAATCTCTTTCGTAACAATGGCTTTCCCCTTACTACAGATTATCTTGGAGCATGGTTTCAAAACTCATTGCATTTCTATAAACTATGGTGTGCTAGTTTTTCGCTTTTATTGAGAACATTAAAGGTTCCTTTCTTTGAAATGTTGTATTATTATTTAGTAGTCTCACCATAGGAACAGTCTTCCCGTGACACTATCCTTCAGTCATAATTCCATCCATGGTGGCATTTCAATGTCGAATAGTCAGGATAGTCTAAGGCTCCCACCATTTCTTACACCCTTGTATTATCATACACTAATTGTTCCTACGAACATCGACTAATCATCTTTATAGTTCCCGAATTATTTCTTAAAATAGCAAGACGGTAATTTGTTATTTTGGCACCTTTCTGAAATTATATCCACGATAGTATGGCTGTAATCCAGTTCACATACAATGACTTGCTTATACTTATTCATATTATGAATGATTTATTATTATTATTATAAAACTAGAAAAGTGTAATCTTGCGCACAGAAACCTAAAAAACTATACTGAAAATACAGCGTATTATAAGTTTATGTATACGGTTGAAGTTGTTATAAACTGAAAGTTTATTTTATTTTATTTTTACTTTCTGAACCACAACTTCGTTCAACTCCTAATTGCAAGCATTCAGTTGACCAATCTGTTTGTTAGGAATATTCATTATGTTCTTCAAAGGTACAGTATATTTTCAAGAAACATTGATACAGAACCAAATATACAAATTTTTCAATTACAGCATTAAATATAACTTTAAACGTACAATGAAATTGTTATATTGTAAGCAAGATACATCTAATTAAATGGCATTCCTTAAATTCTACAACACCTTGACTATACCTTACAGGAATTAACTATAATCATTTCCAATAATTAGATTTTTTAAAGTGAAATTAGTGACACTTTCCTATCTACAAAGAATTTTCTGAAAAAAAAAAGATGTTTATTCCAGAATGATATTATAGACCCATATTTCTTTTGCATGATAATGCACTTAATGAAGTATCTAATCTAGTTGGGAATACATCATATAAGTTTGAGTAGTGCGTGTATATGGTCATTTTCATTGTTGGCTACCTAAACAATTGAATACAGAACAAATAAAAATCTAATTATTTCATTAATATCAAGGCACGTGATAATTAATTCAGGTTAAATATTCATAGTCTCTTCATCACTCCAGTCTAAAGAACGTGAATTAATTGATGCTACATGCAATTCAGTGAAACCGTTTGCAGGAAATATAATACTATTAAAAATCCATTTTTCAATAAGGTTTAACTCAAATCACACTTTTGAGTACATTAAGTTTCAATACATATTGATTTTTTCTATGGTTTTGTTTTAAGGGTTGACTATCATCAAAATATTTGTTGGTATTTTTCTAACCGCTAGTACAGTGAGCGATTTTGCGTTGAATCAAAACCATCTTTT